TTGTTACAGATGTTTCCCTTTTTTACCCCATGGCATCCCCCTCCCCATCCCCCCCGCCCCGTCCCCGGCTTTGTTGTCCATGTCCATTGGTTATGCATACATGCATATAAGTTCTGTGGTTTATCTCTTCCCACAGCCCCCCCCTCTCTTCTGAGGGATGTCAGTCTGTGCTCTACTTCCATGTTTCTGGGTCTACCGTATTCCTCAGACTGTTATGTTCATTATATTCCATATATAAGTGAGATTATGTGGTATTTGTCTTTTTCTGCTTGGCTTGTTTCACTTAGGATAATACTTTCCAGGTCCCTCCATGTTGTCTCAAAGGATAAGAGATCTTTCTTCCTTACAGCTGCATAGTACTCTACTGTGTATATGTACCACTGCTTTTTTATCCATTCGTCTACTGATGGACACGTGGGCTGTTTCCAGATCTTAGCTATTGTAAATAGTGCTGCTATGAACATGGGGTACATATATTCTTCTTGATTGGTGTTTCAGGTTTCTTAGGGTATATTCCTAGAAGCGGGATCACTGGGTTAAATGGAAGTTCAATTTTTAATTTTTTGAGGTTAACACCATATTGTTTTCCATAGTGGCTGCACCAGTCTGCATTCCCACCAGCAGTGCACTAGAGTCCCCTTTTCTCCACATCCTCGCCAACACTTGTTTGATGATTTGTTGGTGGCGGCCATTTTGACAGGTGTGAGGTGATACCTCATTGTTGTTTTAATTTGCATGTCTCTGATGATTAATGATGTTGAGCATTTCTTCATATGTCTCTTGGCCATTTGTATGGACTTCTTATATGGCATCTGAGAACTCCAGGTGCAAGTATTCCAGTGAGCAAACTGCAGGCCTAGCTTTGGAAAACTCATGCAGGATCACTTCCTCTACATTGTATTGGTTACAAGCATCTGGTTATAGATCCAAGGGACAGAGCATAGATCCCATTTCTCAGTAGGAACAAATGTTAAGACCACCACATTTGAGAAAAAAATGTGAGATGGGAGGTGTTGGAGGCATCTTTAGAAAAACAATCTACCATGCTTTTTCAATCTGGATCATTATCCACCGATTTGGGGGATTTTTTTGAAATTATTTAATATATTCTACTCTTCACTATTTCCCTTTGGAACTCCCAATATTCAGACATGTGGATTGATCTAATTTACTTTCTCATCTATTTTTTACATCTTTATCTTTTTAGTGTATCCTAAAGTTTCCCTATTTTATCTTCCTAGTTTAGTGACTTTTTAAATTTGCTGCCATATTTTTGAAAACTTCTGAGTCTTTTTTCCTGAATGTTTCTTTAGAGAATCTGTTTATTCATTTATTTGGTATATGCTTTTTGAGTATTTACTATATGCTAGGTGCTAGGAACAGAGCAACAAATAAAACAAATTTCAGCCCTCATGAGGTTTATATTTTAGTGGGGGGAGAGGCACTAAATAAGAAAAATATACAAAACACTTGGTATGCTAATTGGTGATAAGCATAGAGACAAATATGGTCTGAAGGGAAAGTGTGTCAGATGGTTCTTGTTTCATGGTGCAGTATCTGTTTTCAGGTGATATTTGAAAACAAGATTGGATGAGATAAACTTTTATCAAAATCCTCTTCCACACTTTGCATCATCTCCATTTCTCAAATTTTCCATTCTCTGTATGTTTTGTTGTTGTTTTTCGTGGTAGAAGTTTTCCTCAAAGCTGGCTCATGTTGAGGATAGGGCTCTGAGGAGCTTATTGGAAGCTCTATGTCAACGGATACAGCCTGCCAGATGACAGGCTTCTCTGCTTTTCTACTAGGTCCCAGCTGCCAGTGTTTGCTGGTCTTTTTGGAGGGCCATTTGCTACAGAGAAATCCTCCTACTGTCTGAAGCCATATGGCTGAATGGGAGAAGTGGGACTTGGATCCCACATGAGTGTAAACTTTTACTCAACTCCCCTGCTTTCATTGGCCCTCAGCTATGACTTGTACCTAAATTCACACCTACGCTGGCTCAGTTGCTGCTGGCTTCCATCCAGGTAGAGGAAAGAATGGGGTTCTGAGGAGCTTATTGGAAATCACACTAGTGATTATGCAAAATTTCTCCCAGTTCTTCCAGTTTCTCTACCTTCCTGGGGTTTATTGGCAAGAATGGTCTCTTTTCTTGATGGCTTCACCCTCACACATAGGTTTCAGTCTTCTCTGGCTTGCTGTCAGTTCGCACTTCTGCCTACATTCCTAGCCTCTATAATTTTGTCGACCTCTCTTACTTACTGCTACCTCCTCTACCATTCTTTCACTGTGAGTTTTTATCTCTTTTATTACTTTATGTACATAGGGTTTGGGTGTGAAGTGGAAATCAATGGCTGTGCTCAGTATGACATGTTTAAGTGGTTCCCCACCCATACACACTTTTACAACTCTGTCAGGGGGCCACATCCAATCAATTCTCAGACCTCATTTTACAATCTTCCCCAAACTTCTGTATAGATCACCATGGTCTTCATTTGGCTCCCCTGACTCCACATAACCCTGTTTTCTTTCTGGATAGTCTTTCTCCTGTAGACTGGAATCTGTTGGTGCCCCACGGCTCATCCTGGAAATTTTTCTCTTTGGAATACTCCCTAGTTGTTTTCTGAAAACAGATTCCCTGAAATCTCCCAGATTACTCCCAAATTCCTTACTCTAATCTTGTCCAGTCTCCAGAACACCAGCCTACTCAACGTGTCCACCACTTGAATGTCTACTGGGCATCTGTCTTAACATGTCCTCCAATTTAAGTTGAAAATTTCCCCCAAACCTTCCCTACTTTAGAAAATGACACTACCATATGCCCAGTGGTGCATGCCAAAAACCTTGGAGTTTTCTGTATCTAGTTTATTGAACAAGTTGGAATTGATAGGGTGTAAGCAGAGAGAAGCATTATTTTTTTTCTCATGACTCTTTTAAAGAGTTCCTAAAAACTCTTATCTTTGAATTCTCAGATGGAGTTTACAGTTTTTTCCCCTGTCTTTCTTAGATTAAAAAAAAAAGAGGATTAGGCCCGGCTGGTGTAGCTCAGTCGTTGAGCATCAATCCATGCACCAAGAGGTCACCTGTTCAATTCCTGGTCAGGGCACATGCTGAGGTTGTGGACCAAATCCCCAGTGGGGGGCATGCAGGAGGTCGCCAATTGATGTTCTCTCTCATCGATGTTTCTCTCTCTCCCTCTCCCTTCCTCTCTCTCTAAAATCAATAAAGAAAAAAAAGGATTATTATTTTGTTCATAAAAAAGTCAAAAGGCAAACTCTGCACCAATCGAAACCTCTTCCCTCCCTTAGCTCAGCCAAACTGAGTTTGAGATGTAGGCCAGAGCCCTTATTCCTACTCTTTGTGTTTCCACATGGAGGGACATCCCCAGAGAAAAACTTCCACTTCCAGGGAAGTGTGAATTGTTGAATCTAGGAGAACAGACCGGGTCAAGTATGCTCAGGTTTCTCTGGGCACAGTTTCAGGGTCTGTAGGCTGACAGATGTCTTATTACTTGGCTACATGGTACCTAGTGGGGTGACTTTGTGGCTGGGAGGCTGCGGCTGTCCAGCTCTGCCAGAGGCTGGGAGGTATGTTGCTCTGATTTAGAGATGCATCAGTATCTAGCTTTCTTGATTTCAATCTAAGCCACGTTCTCCACCTGGTTTTTTTTAATCTGTGGCAAGGCTGGTATTTTGATATCCTTTCATCTTATTGCTATGTCTTCTTTACTTGTTTCTGAACTGGGATAGGAAGAGATAAGTGTTCTGTACTGGCCATCTAAAAGCCCCCATATTCCACTAGGGGAGACGGGTGTGTGTGTGTTTTCTTTTGCAAGACCCCTCCTGGCAACTTTCCCCTCTGGCTTGCTGTGGTTCATGGGCACCGAGGGATGGGTACAGAAACCCTCACTGGTCTGATAGTTATAAGCTGATGTCGGGGCTTCTGTGGGGCAGATGAAGAAATGTTGGGGTCCTCTGGTTGTAGTCCTTTCATGTTAGCACTGTGTCCTCCAATCAGAAGTTCTCAAGTCCCTCCAGTCCCAGGTTTCTGCTGTACACACCGAGGGCCACTCAGCCCCACCTAACACCCCAACTTCCCTCCCTGTCCAACAGTCCCTGTCAGTCTTGGCCACTCACTCTGTTTCCATCTTTCTCTCCCCTCTACTGTTAAGGCCTTGCACCTTTAACTTACCCTGGGAACCCCAACTCTCCAGGGACCTCTAGCTGACGCTCTAGCTGGGCCTCGCCCTCCCCTGGGCCGCGGAGGCTCCTTGGCCTCACCAGCCCAGCCCCGCCGGGCACCCTGGGGCGCGGCCTCCTGAGGAGCGCGCTACCCTCTCTCCATAGCTCCTGTCCTCCGGAGACCTCCCCCCCTCGTCGCGGCCAGGAGCCCGCAGCCAACCGCCTTCCCTCGCGCACCTCCAGCCACCGCCTCGGGTACTCCTCCAGGGCGCGAGCTCCTCCCCGCCTCCGGCCTTGGCCCTCGCTGTCCGCTCAGCCTGAGCCTCGCTCCCCACATCCCCCTGACCTCCAGAACTCCTGCGGGACGGGGCCGTCCTCATCTCCTCACAGGGCCACCCCACCCCAGCCAGGCCCACCTCAGCCCCGGTCGCAGGTCTTCACCCCACTAGTCGCTCGGAGGACACGGAAATCCCGCGTGAATTTGCGGCCGGCCCGGCCCTGTCACCAGCTGCTGGCCCCGCCCACTGAGTCCGGGCTGGCCACGCTCTGCCCCGGCTCTTCCAGCCCCGCCCCCGCCCCCGCCCCCAGGTCCCTCTTGCCCTCTCCCCCCGCCCACCTATCCCTGACCCTGCCCATAGAACCAGCCTCGTCCCGCCCTGGTCCCGCCCCGTCCACCATGCCGCGCCCACCGAACCCAGGACCCGCCCCGCCCCGCCTTTTCCCGCCTTAGGTCCCGTCTCGTCCTCCGCGCCACACCCTCTGGACTCAGGCCCCGCCCCCACCGCGGTCGGGTGTCTAGCGCCTGATCACGGCAGTGGCTGGGTACTGCAAAGGGCTCGTTCTCCGCCGTTCTGATTGGCTGTTCCGGCATCTTGCCATCGCGCTTGGTGGGTCAGTGGAGGAGTGGGGGGCGAAGTGCGTCCAAGGAGAGCTCCTGGCTCCGTGCTTAGGTTGCAGAAGTCGCGGCGGCCGTCATGACGGAGGGAACGTGAGTCCTTGCGCTCCGGATTCTACAAGGGAGAGCGCGGTCGGCATGCTGAGGAGGGGGTCATCGCGGAAAGGGTGCTTCCAGCCGAGGTTCCACGTGGGCTGGGGGCCACCGGGCGGGAGCGGGGCTGAGGAGAGCCCGGTGGAGTGGGGGTCCTGGGGACCCTGGTGGCCGGAGTCTCCACTCGCCACGACAGATAATGGGACAGTAGCTAGAGGCAGAAATGGCGCCGAGAGTGTTTCCATTTGGGAGGTGAGGATACCAGCCTACCTGTGGGCTGTTGGAAGTAAGACCTCTGGGCTCTGACCTAAAGACGAGGCAGGATGGCCACTCACGATCGTTTTCAGGTGTCTGCGTCGTAGAGGGGGACCCTATAAGACAGAGCCCGCCACTGACCTCAGCCGCTGGCGACTCAGCTGTGAGAGGGGAAGGCAGGTGTGGACATATTTTCAAGAGGACGACCCCCGCCGGGAGCAGACTGCGCTGGAAGCTCACTCCGTGGGATTGGACACTGTAGGTGCTCAAGTCTGCTTCCCACACAATGCCTGGGACTCCTGCTAGAATCCCCTTTCCTTAGCCAGGAGCACCAAGAACCAACAGGGAGCTTTCAAAAGCTACATGTGAAGGGTATTTTCTTCCTCGTTAAAATGGAAGGGATGTGTAAGGTAAGGCCTGGGCCACATGTCACTAAAGCTGGTTAAAGATAGGGCATGAGTTGAATGGACCCCTTTGCTTCAATTCCTCTATCACTTAAGCATGAGTAAGAAACTGCCCTAAATTTTTTTATTCAGAAAAAAAGTTTTTTTAAAAAAAATCTTCAACGGAGGATATGTTTTTACTGATTTTAGAGAGGAAGGGAGAGAGAAACATCCATGTGAGAGAAACATCGATTAGTTTATGCACCCTGACCAGAGATCGAACCCGAAACCTAGGTATGTGCCCTGACCGGAAATTGAACCTCCAACCTTTTGTTGTATGGGATGATGCTCCAACCAACTGAATCTCTTGGCCAGGTCAGAAAAAAATGTGTTGTGTTTTTTTTTATCCAGTGAATTTCATATGAGAAATTCAGCTAGTCAAAGAGTATGCAATATGAATGGGATCTCCTGGTTGTGCCCTGGACTCCAGTCGCTGTCCGGTCCCTTGGCCCTTTCCTGTGAGAGGCCTGAGTTTCAGGTGCCCCACCAGACACTCTTGGGCACTTGGTTTACAGTTGTCCCTTGCCACTTCACGCTTCAACTTTTGAGGCTTCACTGTATTGCGGTTTTTTCAAATACTATATACCATCATTGAAAAAACCGCCATAGAGTGAAGCTGCGGAAGTCGAAAGTCCGGAGCTCGAAGTGGCAAGGGACAACTGTATATAAAGAATTCTATTTCGCCCTGGCCGGTTTGGCTCAGCGGTTGGAGCGTCGGCCTGTGGTCCAGAGAGACCCGGGTTTGGTTCCGGCTAAGGGCATGTACCTCGGTTGCAGTTTGTCCCTGGCCCTGGTTGGTCGTGCGGGTGGCAGCCACTCGATGTGTCCCTTTCACGTCGATGTTTCTCTCTCTCTCTCTCTCTCTCTCTCTCTCTCCCCCCCCCTCCCGCTCTATCTGAACAAAAAGTGGAAAAATGTCCTCGGGTGAGGATAAAAAAAAAAAAAAAGAATTCTACTTCGCGGAAATTCATTTATTGCGGTAGAGTCTGGAACTGATTAACCGCGATAAATGAGGGCCGACTGTATTTATTTAGGATTAAAAAAAAATTTATTATTATTATTTTTTATCCTCACTTTTGCATTCATCTTCACATAGAGTGAAAGGGAGAGAGAGAGAAACATCAACGTGAGAGAGACACATCGACTGGCTGCCACCCACATGACCCCGACCAGGGCTCGGGACAAACTGCAATCAAGATATGTGCCCTTAGTGGGAACCGAACCCAGGTCTCTCAGAACTGTGGGCTGATGCTGTAACCACTGAGCAAACAGCCAGGGGTATTTAGGATGTCTTGGAGAAGTTGTAAAGAAATTTGCAAACATATTTGAAAGCAAAGCCATGAGAACGAACTGTCCTTTTACTTTGCTGAGCTGGTAATACTGCCATCAAAGAGTTTCAGATTTTTTATTTAAAGTAATGCAGATTAATTATTTTGACTTGGGCTATAAGTGATGAGTTCTCCTTTAGCCTGGCCACAGAGCCCCCTCAAGCCTCATCTCTTTTCTTTTTTACAGGGGAATTACTTTAAAGACTTGCCCAAAGCCCACACAGCTCATGAGGGGGCTCTGAATGGGATGACATTTTACATGGGACTGCAGGCTGAGGACGGGCACTGGGCGGGTGATTATGGTGGCCCACTCTTCCTTCTGCCAGGTAGGAGGGTGCTGCCCTGACCTGTGGGTGAGGCCACCCTGGGGCATCATTGGGGAACTGGCCTGACCTAGTTCAGGCCCTGGGTATATGTGGTGTGAATAAGTGAGCAGGTGCACACCCAAGAGCTCATGTAGAAAAGGGCTGGGGAGAGTTTCCCTGCACGCTAGTTTTCCTGGTGTTGGTGCTGGGAGAGGGACGCGAAGGCACAACGAGCCCAGTGTTGTGACAAGGGAAGAGAGGGATGCTCTGGGGGTGGGGAAGGAGTGGCTCTTGAGTCCTAGTGCAGAGTGGGGGTGCACTCCAGATGGAAGGCTGAGCCTGTGCAAAGGTGCCAGAGGCAGGCAGGGTGGTTGGTGGGTGTCTTTAATCCCCTGTGGGCAGCTCTAGCATCCCTTGAAGAGGGATAGGTCCGGGTTGGTGTATGCCAGGAGGATTGCTGCTGTGCCCTCTGAACATGGAGTTAGATTGGCT